GAAGATAGATTTTTATAAATTGCCGTCTCTCTTTAAAGTATTATATATACTATAGAGGATTATTCAATTCAATTGTGCATTATTGTCCATGGCGACGCTCTGGCCATCAGACCTGCTCTTCCACCTCACCACTACACTACAAATTTCCTCCATGCTCCTTTCTCCATCTGGCAGAGAAAGGAGGTATCACGCAAACAACAAGCGATTTCAATACTTCCAAGTAAATATACAACTTAAGATAGCCAGCTATATTTCTCCGAAGGAAGGCGTTCAAAGGATTTTGCTTCTTTCTTCGTCTGACATAGAAAGGATGTATCACTCGGACAACAAGCGATTTGAATACTACAAAGTAAATCTACAGCTTGGGAAAACCATCTTTACTTTCCCTCTGAAGGAAGGCATCCAAAGGATTTTTTGCTCTTAAAAATTGATGGCTTTCATCGGTTTTGAACCCGTCAATTTGGGTATAACAGTCCGCTAAGCTAATCTTTACACCAACAAAGCCATTATTTTACTTGTTTCTGAAGAGCAGAAAGTTAATTTCATAGGCCTTACAAATGCATCTTGCAATTCATTACTAACACTTTCAGTTCTGGCTTTATTAAGTAATTTCTGTTTCAAGATATGAAATCTATAAAAGCTATATTCATCTGTACTCACCCAAGGTGAGAAGTAAAAGAAAATGCTTTAAACAGTGACATTCTGGCACCCAGAGAACACCAATTGTGTGGCAGACTACAGAATGAATTGAAATATAATCGAAGGAAAATTTTATATAATTAAAAACTAACAATACATTTATTAGCAACACACAACAGTCATTTTCTGTAAGTTTGTGTTTAAATATTTTCAGTTTTTGAGGTTGGCATACGTATCTTGAATGTTTTCTGTATTCACAGTCCTTTCACAGGGATACAGATAGTCATGCCATTTTTTTGAGAATTCGTACAACATTCAGTATGTTGCTCCAATTGCACAGCTGTATTCTGCATTTTCAGGTACAGAAATAAGATTTAATTTTCATTATGTGCAGACCTGACTAAAAAACTGTCAGTTTTCACAAAGATGATTGTTTCAAATGGTTTTGTAAACATCTAATTAGCATTGAAAGGTGAAATTATCACTCACGTTTCAGAAAGGTCGTAATAATGAAAGTCCTAAACAATGAAACAGTAACTCATTGCCTAAACAAAGATTGAGGAAAAATCTATAATAAGGTCTGTCGTTGCTCTGTCCCTATTCCTCATGTTCATGTGTGCAGTTGTTAGAGGTAATTGTTGTTCGAAAGGAAAATAAATCATATTTCCAGTCACATTCTGGTTCAAAATTTTGTTATATCTCAAGGAAGAATAGATTCAAGAAATTAGTGTACTGTTGAAACTCATCCCAGAGGTAAAACTTACATTAATTTAACTACACAAACTTAATTTTTTTTTGTTGTGTATACATAGACGCAATGCATCTCCAAAGCCGTTGGGGGTGTTGAACGATTTGCAGTTGGAGTAATCCTCCATTAATTGCAAAGGAGTAATCCTCCATTAATCATAATCATCACGTCTCGTAGTCTGTTTTCAGGAGAACCGCCAGGTAGCATCTCCATGTATGTGCCTCGTAATGTAAGCTTCTGCGTCACTACCCAATGGTCAGAGTTGGGAAGGAATTATGATTGGGGTAGGGTAATTATGATTGGTGCAACACTTCACAGGGATTGGACTAGCTCTTGTGAAGCAGACAAACTGATTTTGCAACATCACAATCGAAGCATAGAATCTACTTTTAAACTAACAAAACAGATATCGTGAAGAGACACAAACATCTTTGCCGTGGCTTTGTGATATTTAGAATGTCCTTATGCTCAGATAATTGTGGAATACTCATTGTTATATCTCACCATCAACAGAAATGTCAAGTATATTTGCAATATCCTGTAGCAAAAATGCAACCAAAGGAAGGACCGAATCAAAACATTAAGCATTGCTCAGTTGCATTCTAGGAGTTTGCTTTTCCCTCAGACTCAGATTTTGCTATTTGCTAACAAACACACAAACATGATCTTTATTTAAGTAGTTAATAATAATAGATGGGTTTGAAGTTTGAAAACTGAATAGGGAATAATTGAGAGGAAAAGAGCCTTACAACATGGAAACTTCAAATGAAGTAAAATATAACACATTCCTAGTATCTAACTATTATTTCAAACTAATATCATTCAGTATTTCTTTATAATGAAAAATAATACCATAGAGCATTGGTTCACAAAATTTCTTCTGCTAAAATTATCACAGAATAAATTAATGTATTAAGATGCTGTTGGCTTACTTCAAAAGTAAGTTCTAATACTAGGAATTTTTTCAAAATTAATGGGGTACTTCGAAACTTAAAACTGTACAAAAAGTCTTATGTATTGAAATCAACTTAATTTTCCGTTTTATTCTCATTGTTTGGAAGCAAAATAATAAATCAAAAATTGCAGAAAAAGTACATTACATTCCTTAAAACAAAGTGATTTTGTTCACTTTTAAGTTAGTTGGATATGTTAAGTAATAACTTATATTCACATTTATGATACCTTTTTAATTTTGAAAGTACTTGATATTTTATTGAACATTGCAAGTTTAATTTAACTTACCCTGCACGTTTACTTTCACAAAGCTGTTATGAAATAATTAATGTTATTTATATATTGAGAATTTATCTAATATATGAATATGATTTGCTCAGATTTCACTGCTATTTCAAACCTTCAATAATAATATTAATTGTGAGGAGCTGAGCATGTCATTATCATATTTCCTTTTTCATAAAATTTCAATTTGTCTTGGAAAGAAAAAATTGTATGAAAGATTCTCATTGATATCAATAACATAGATCACTGACACAATGTATACTCCTTTCAGATTATATGGCTTCAACAAGGCGTAGATCATGGGTCTGGAAATATTTTGTGGAGGAACCAAACAGCAAAGTTCAATGCTTTTTGTGTAAAAAAGAATTCAAGTATAATATTACC